GGATCTTCTGGGTGGAGCTCCTGCAGTGTATCTAGGTACAGTCTCTAAACTATCCACGCATTGCGTGCGCCCATTAGTTTAGGCTTTGTTTTCGCTCTTGCATTATACGAGTTTTTCATTGTCTAGTCGACAGGCATGCTCTCTTTCGCTCTCGGCTTGGCTTTGTAGGAAATTGTTTCCGCTACTGTAGAGTTTCTGACTTTGTGTCTGGTTCAAACTAGGGAGACTGTAGCTCTTAGTGTCTTGTGTGTGTGGTGTGCTAGCGTACGATGGCATCTGCAAGCCAGTTTTTTTCTCAAGTGGATTGTTTTGAGCTGTTTGTCTAAAAGAACGCTTTGGAATTGGCACCAGGTGGTTATGACAGTGAGGAGAATGCAGCCAGGGCATATGATCTAGCAGCTCTCAAGTACTGGGGACCCAACACTATTATCAACTTTCCTGTAAGATTTCGTGGGGAGGTCGCCAATGTCGACTGCTCACCAGACGCCTTGACCATCTCCTTGACTAAACTTTTTCTCTCTTCTTTTCCAGCTTGGAAACTACACCAAAGAGCTCGAGGAGATGAAGCACAACACAAGGCAAGAGTACGTCGCGGCCATAAGAAGGTTGGCGGGCTTTATACGTCTTGGTTTGTTTATTGGATGGCTCTCTCTAAGGTTGCGTCGTCTCTATCAGGAAAAGCGATGGCTTCTCTCGAGGGACTTCGGTTTTCCGGGGTGTTACGAGACACCACCAGCATGGACGATGGCAAGCGCGGATTGGACGTGTGGCTGGTCACAAGGATTTGTACTTGGGGACATTTGGTACGCTGTGCAACAGTAGAGAAAACTTTGACATGTAGCTTTTGCTTTACGACCCATCTTTGATGTGATCTCTGGATAGGCACTGAAGAAGAAGCCGCTGAGGCGTATGACCGGGCTGCTATCAAGTACCGCGGTCTCAAGGCGATCACAAACTTTGAGATAAGTCGCTATATCAAAGTTCCAAAGGAGGACGAGAATGGGAACCAAGTTTTGGAGCAAGGGCTCCAAATGGTGAAGCAAACTCCCGATTGGCAGAACTTCTTCCAGATTATCTATCAGCCCAACCAGGCTCTCTGGCTCCAGCAGAATCAGCACTATGCAAACAGCCAAGGTTAGATCTTTCAACATCTGAAGATAAAGTTTCTAAACTTCTTTTTCATTGCAGAAACATCTGACCAGTCCGTGATCACATCGAATCCCAGCGACACCAACGAGTGCTCGGATCGATCGTATAATTACTCTCACTTTCAAGGAGACCATGTTGGAGGAGTCCATAGCATCCACCAAAACAAGGATCAAGTGTTCCAGTTTTGCTCTCCACAAGCTAGTGAAGCTGCGATTCCATTCCAGCTCCAGAAACCGAGCTATGGAAGCGGCAGCAACAATCAAGTGCCAATCTTCACAGGCTGGAACGAACTGAGCTGAAAAGAAAAATTTCTCGAGAGAGACTTTCCCTTGTAAAAAGAATTATATATACACCACTAGGTACTTACCGCAATACTTTATCGTAGCTCTGTGGAGCTACAACAATTTTGGTACATTATAAAACTACTCAAGAGGCAGTATCAATTCAAGCATATAAACAACGAAACAAACGAATAGATTGTGCGTACTTGTTTGCGAGAACTTTTCAGGAGCTCAAAGTGCAGCCAATGAACATGCGCCATCGTCCAGGACGGGCGTACGTATAGAATAAAGTAGAAACAAAGTATAAATACTTTGAGTCATGCATCTAAGATCGAGATTCTAGAAGTTGCAACAGCTATATGGTAAAATACTAGAAGGCTATGTGGTAGCAGTGTAGCACAGAGGTAATCTACTGTAAAGATCACCTTTCTTTTCCCTTTGAAATTCCTTCCCATATATTCCACCACCCCCATGCGCGATCTTGTTAGCAGTACTTCGTAATCCACCAAGTTGCCAGGCAGGGGCAAATGCTGCAAAGCAAGTAAGCCGTGCCCGAGAGAGCAAAGCAAGAGAACAAAAAAAGGATGGAAGGAAGAAAGGTGAGAGAGAGACACACGCAAAAACAAGCCCAGAATCCGAGACAACCACCAAACTTCTGGCAAGCAAGTCTGGACTCTGGAGGGCGACTGGCATTCAATGCAAGAGTGTGTCTAGCTCTTCTTCCCCTTCTCTCATCTCTCTTTCTTTTCCTTCCAATCCCTTCAAGGAAATCCTCCTCAACCGCGGGTGGCGAATTTTATAATGGAAACATCAATTCCTCAGAGTTAATGAAAGAACACGAGCGCTGACCTGATGGCAGGCGGACGAGCAAGAATCGTGGCGTGAGCCCCCCGATGTGAAGAAGGATATAAAAATAGTATCCACACACGATAAGGAGCTTTAATGGGATGGCTGGTTTTGAAAACTACGGAAGCATGGCGGCTAGCACAGCGAGCAGTAGCGAGAACGAAGACTCGTCTTTGCTTGCTCGCAACGAGAAAACCAAGGAGAAAGACATTGTTGTCTGATATGTTTGGAGTTCACTGCACGGATACAAAGGTGGTCGAAAGCAAAGATGCCGATCAAATCTTTGGTGGCTGAGGAGAAAGAGTAGCGATCAGAGAAGAACTCACACTTGAGCTTCTGCGACTTGGGCGATTTCTTCTTCCTCGAGCTCCTCGCTCTCCTCGTTCCATGCCGCAACCGTGTTGGAAAGAAGCACATACGGCGCTGATTTCAATCGTCCCAGCTGCACAGCTCGCTTTGCCGCGGCCGATGCTCGCTTGGAATCGCTGTGCGTCTTGCAAGCCGAGATCAGAGACAGCCACGAGACTCCATCCGGCTCGAAAGGCATGCTCTCGATGAGATCCTGCGCGTCCTCGAGCCGCCCCGCGCGGCCGAGGATGTCGATCAAGCAGCCAAAGTGGTCGGCGGTGGCCGGGATGCTGTGATCCGCGACCATGGTGGCGAAGTAGTCGCAGCCATCCCGGAGGAGACCTCCATGGCTGCAAGATGAGAGGATGCTCATGTAAGTGATCCCGTTTGGCTGGACGCCGTTGAGAACCATGGCTTGGTGGAGCTCCAGCGCGAGCTTGTCATAGCCGTTTTGAGCGTAGGCTGCCACCATCGCGGTCCACGACACAACGTCCGCTCTGGAGCTCGCAACTTCGTCAAACAAGCGTCGAGCCTCAGCCAGACTCGCGCATTTCCCGTAGAGGTTGACGAGGCCGGAGCAGATCATCGGGTCGCACTGCACTCCCGACTGGGCGATCGTGGAGTGGAGAACTCTCCCGACTTTGAGCGATGCCACCTTCGTGCAAGCGTCGAGCGCGTTGACGAAGGTGATGGTGTCTACTGGAACTCCTTCCAGATCCATCTTGCTAAAGAGCTGGAGAGCTTTCTTTCCTTCGCCGTGCTGTGCGAAGGCCCCGATCATCGCCGACCACGACACCGTGTTTCGAGAAGGCATCTCGTCGAAGGTTTGCTTGGCTCGGTCGAGATGCCCGGTTTGAGTATATGCAGCGAGCATGGCAGTCCACGACACGACGTTTTGCTGGGGCATGGTTTGGAAGAGATTCTCGGCGCTGTGGAGATCGCCATGCAATGCAAACGCGGAGATCATAGCGTTGTAGGAAACCACATCCGGGTGTGGGAGCTCGTCAAACATACACTTCGCGGTGTGTATGTCTCCCTTCTCGGCGAAAGTGGTGATCATGATGTTCCATGAAAGCTCACTCCATCGAGGCATCCGGTCGAACGCTCGCTTCGCCTCCTCCGGCACAGCATTCGCGGAGTAAGCCCCGATCATCACGTTCCACGACACCAAGTTGAGCTCCGGAGCCCGGTCAAAGAGAGCCTTTGCGTCGACGACGTTCTTGGCATCCACGAACGCCGTCAGCATGATGTTCCAGGTGATCGCATTGCTCTGCGGAATCCGGTCGAAGAGCGCCCTCGCGTCGACGAACTTGTCGTTCTGAGCGTGCGCACCGATGACGGCATTCCACGAGACGACATCCCGGTTTGGCATTCGATCGAAGTTCGCTCGAGCCTCGTCCAAGTTGCCATTTGATCCATAGGCCGAGACGAGGCTGTTCCACGACATGAGAGTCTTATCCGGCATGGAATCAAACACCAACTTCGCCTCACGCAAATACCCGTTCTGGGCAAATGCTGAGATGACCGAGTTCCAGGCCACAAAGTCCCTCTCCGGCATGCACGAGAACAACCATTGCGCCTCCTCGAGAAACCCATTCTCTGCGTAAGCCACCACCATGATCGTCCACGACACCACTGTGAGCTGCGGCATCTTGTCCAGCATCACCCTTGCATTCTCTAGATGCCCCCTCTGGGCATATCCCGTGATCATCGTGTTCCAGACGATGAATCCCCGCAGCTCCATCCGATCGAAGACCTGTTTGGCAGCATCGAGGTTCCCGGCCTGGGCGTATCCGGAGATGATCGTCATCCACGAGAAGCTGGAAGCCTCGGGCAGCCCATCAAAGAGCTCCTTGGCGCTGTTCATGTCTTTCAGCTCCACATACCCGGAGATGATCCCATTCCAAGTCGCGGCCTCCCACTCCGGCATTCTCGTCACCACCGCCATCGCCTGCTGGATCTGCCCCCCCTGCGCGTACGCCGCCACCATCGCGTTCCACGACACGCGATTCCTCTCGCCCATGGCGTCGAAGATCCTCCTCGACTCGCCGGGATCGCTGGAGTTGCGCGCGTGGGCGGCCAGGTAGATGTTCCACGAGAAGGAATTCTTCCTCCGGATGGCCTGGAACGCAGCGCGCGCGTCCGCCACGCTCCCGCACAGCCCATACATCTGCACGATGAGGTTGCCCAGGAACGTCCCTCCATCGCCGCCGAGATCGCGCACCCGAGAATGCGCCCTCCTCGCCCGGGCGAGATCTCTTGCGCGCCCACATTCCCGCAGCAACGCCGCTATAGCACCCTCATCGATCGCTCCTCCAGCCCTAGCAAGCATCCACGATTGCCAATCCCATGCGTCCACGTGTATCACAATCCAACGGCCACAACAGCTAGTTAACCAACGTTGACTAAAAGAGTGTGTTTCAATTTTTTCTTTCTTTCGGAGCAAGGAGCTCCCTGGCCTCACTGCAGTGGAGCGTACACCGAGTAGCAATCCGGAGGAACCAAGACGTGATGGTGGAGAGGATATCGGCCCTGCGCAGCCGACACCTCCGGCCCAGCTCCGCCAGAGTAGCTCACGCTGCTGACGCTCATCGAGCGAGAGATCGGCCAAAAGCGACCATTCGCATCGCTCTGGAGAGAAGCCAGCGGCGTGTGTGCGTAGCTTCCCATCATCTGTGCGCTTTCCATCCTGCGCTGCTGCTGCTGTTGCTGCTGGTGATGCTGCTGCTGTTGGTGTTGCTGCTGCTGTTGGTGTTGCTGCTGCTGTTGGTGTTGCTGCTGCTTGGCACTGCTTCCATCGCCAGGCAAGCTGTAGTCTCCGCCTCTCCCACCGGGATGATGCAGGATCGCGCTCAGCGTCCTTCCCAAGTTCTTGTCCTCGTCCAGGAGATCGTTGATGATGTCCAGGTGCGGGAAATCCTCCGAGAGGCTGCTGAAGAATGGCGGCGGGGGCGGAGGCTGCCTCGCGGGTGACAGCATCTCCGCGCCTGATGGACTGCCTTGGTTGTCGGAGCTCTGGTCTTCGGAGTGCCCGGCGTCGTCGCTCGAACTTTGCTGCTGCTGCGGCGGGTGGTGCTCGCTGTGGAGGACTTCCTGTGTTACCGTCCCAAATGTTATCGCTATCGAGTCATCCTGCCCGTTTTGCTGCTGCTGCTGCTGCTGCTGTTGCTGGCTGCCACCACCTTTGTGAGGAGGTTTATCGTTGCTACTTGCATCTGGCATCGTTGCCACTTGGACCTCTTCCGCTCTTCCAGACTGCTCGTAAACAGGAGGTAGCTTCGACGCACTACCGCTCGTCGTCGACGTTGTTGTTGTTATTACTGTTGCCGAGGACGACGAGGCAGCGGCGGCGGCAGCAGCAGCGTAAGGCCGAGCAAACCCGCCATTGCTCACCAAGCCGCTACTCTGCGCGCTGTGTCCTCCAATATCGGCTCCTGGGCTGTGCAGCCTCCCCACAGCAGCATTTCTGTACGACACTGGTAGACCAGCCTGCTTCGGGGTGTCGATGATACCGGACGCTTCACCACCACCGCTCAGCCTGCCAGCGGCACTCATTGAGCGAGAGAGAGGCGGCGGAATCGGCTGCAAAGGAAACGGCATGGAGTGCCGAGGTCCATTTGCAATCATTGGCGCAGTCCCTGGTCTCGAAAAAGCTGGCATTGCGGACGCCGTCATACCAGGCCGTGGATCGTCGTCGGACTTGTGCTTCATAGCGTTGGAAGAGTCACTCCTGCCTTTTGAGTGATGCCCGTTCTCAGTAGCATGATAAGAACCATTTGTAGTCGCCCTGCTCGACTTTAACTGTCGATTGTCACCTTTCGGTAGTCTTCCCTTCGGCACTGAATCCCCATCAGGCGGCATGCTATCGCTTCTGTTGCTGGAGGCCTCGGAACTAAATCTACAATCTGGAACATCCCCCGATCGATTCCTGTGGCTTCTTGTTTGATCACCTGCTTTGTGCTGGGCGTAGCTAAGCTGTTCGTGAAGCAAAACAACTTCGTCCTCCTGCAAACGCCAAAGCTTTAACGCTAAACGCTCTAGAAAAAAATTTACCTTTTCTTGTAGACGTTTTTCAAGCCAACGCACTCTTTCCTTGAGAGAAAGAATAACAGCCTCCGAATCTATACCTCCTGGACTGCAACTACTGCTCGTCTCGCCAGTGCTTCGAGCGTCTGCAGTTCGGAGAACTGCATCGCCTTCAAGAAGCCTACCATCGCTGTCAAAACCATCAACAGCAGCCCTGCTCCTGCCCCTGTCACCGCATTGTGTAAACAGCTGAAACGAGGAAGTACGAACAAGTACCTTAGGAAACCGTGTTCGGAGATGTGCGTCCTTGAACCGAACAAATTGCTACTCGGCGGTCTCACCGATGGTAGAGAGTCCGACGAGCAAGTGGAGGAGCTGTCGTCCAAAGCCGAGGGTACTCTTTTACTCTGCCCGCTGGCTTCGTCAGTTAAAGAACCACTGAAACTTGCTTCCATTTCCTGGTTCACGAATGATGCGTCTCGTTCCCATGTCGCATGTTCTAAATCATCCGCTGTTCCAAAGGTTCCCACAATGCTATCCAGACCACTATCACCTTCCTCATCTACAGTCTCGCCCATCAAAATCGACGAGAGGTCGACATCCGTTAGCAGAATTTTCTTCGTGACAAGCCTACTGCTTGTTAGATCTTGCTCCAGGCGCTTTTCAGAAGGATCTTTGTCTTTTCCTTTACGATCTTTCCTTCTTTGTTTAGCCTGTAAGAACAAAGAAGGATAAAGTTATATAGATTAGAGTAGAGTTTACCTGTTTCTTCTTAGTACGTTTCTCCCGTTCAGCTGCCTCGCGCTTTGCTTTAAGCTCATTTTCAGCCTGACCGGCAGCTTCTTCTTCACGAATAAGCTCTTCTTGACGTTTTAACGCCACAGCTTCTCTGTACGCCACTTCTATCCGATTGCTGCGACGGAATGACCAACGTTACATTGAAAGTATAATAAAAAGAGAAATACCTGAATAAATGAGCTAGCACGAACATTTCGACAGTCCGCCTGCCAAGCTCTGTAAGCCTCCGTTCGTCACGTTCAACGAACTCCTTCCCAAATTCATCTCCAGACGCTCCATCCTGATAAAAGCATAAAATGGTGAAGTTCAATCGAATACCATATTGTCTATACCTTCGTCCGGTTTTGAGGCCCCTTATCATCTTTGTAGGAAGGCAATGGCTCTAGTACGACCCGCTCCAAGAGCGAAAGTATATCGCCAGCAAGTACAAAAAAATCCTTCTCCATCCAGACAACAGGTGTAAATGAATCATATCCTGCGTCTAATTTATGGTTCTTGTTCTTTTTCTGACGATCCAAAGCCTTACAGCCACTGTATAATGCATCCATGACCAGCGTTGAAGTGACCTCCTTCTCGTTGAAAAAGCGCTTAACCACGGCCTTGAAGATAATATCTGTCTTTTCTCTAGCAAGCCGTCGGCGTGCATTGTCTTCGACAGCCGACCAGAAAGCTCGGAAACTGGCAAGCACAGTAAGGAGTTACTAAGCAGATATATGGTTACTTCCGCCATACCTTGACCAGCAAAGAGTATCCTCTATTACTTTACCAAGTTTCTCTCTCTTCTCTTCCACAAAGCGTCGGCAAATACCCTCAACGTTTGTTATGTACACGCGGACCAGCTCTCGCCTATACTGACAATCGAGACAGCGGAAAGGCTGAAGAGGATTCTCCCTGTCAAAATTCCAACAAACAATAAGATACTAGGATCTTTTAGACAGCCAAACCTGATAACTTGCACTTGGGCCTTGATAACCAACGTATCGCCGACCGTGAAACCATCCGCAACTTTAGAAAGTTCCATAAATTTCTTCCAACCCCAGTCATGCTCCTTCTTGCAGAAACGATGTAAAGTATCTGCTTGTACAAAGTACACTTAGCGCCTATTCTACATAGATAAAAGTTTGCAGCACCTGAATACTTAGACTTCTTTGGATCTTTGTTGACCACGGCTATAGTAAACTGCGCAAAATGACTCCATCCTTCAGAAAACACAAGACGAAGACAAGGTATGACAACCGTTAAAACTCAAAAGAGAAATCGAGTCTACTACCTGGTAGAAGCTTGTCATAATCTGCAACACACAGGAAAAGCGAAAGGTGATTGCAAACATCACATCCCTGAGGATACACTAAAATATACCTGAGAAGAAACGCTGAAGCCGTTAGAACAGCTTAAAGAGACAGGAGGAGAATGTTAGACGTGTTTGCTCACCACTTGTAGCCTCCGACTTCGAACACATTGCTCCGAAGTTCCCTCTTGCTTATCTCGGAGAAATTCTCGATCTTCCAGGTGAATTTTCCGTAAAGGTCCGAGGGCTTGGGTCCTGTAAAACAACAAAGAAAAAATGAACAAGAAAAAAGAAAGAAAAAATCCCACGACGAAGATGAAGAAATGATAAGAAAATGCGCTACCAGCACAATGAGGAATTCCAATCATCGGCCACACACAAACCCTATTGCAGGAATCGAGCAGTCACCTGGCAGCGTGGAGAGCGCCGACGATTTATCCTCGTCGGAATCACAATAGCCTGGAGATGTGGATGGAACTGACGGCTCCAACTGCTCGCGCGACCTCCATTCCGCGACAGCATCCGCGAGATGGAACCTGTTACCTCCGGACGACGCCGCTGGAGCAGCGCACGCCAATGCCGCATCGTCCCCGCTCGCATTGCCCTGCCCTGCGCACGCCATGCCGGGCAACGCAGAAATAACCCTAGCGCTGGGCGGATTAGGGCAAACGCAAATAATCCCCTTAAGCCTATACTTTCTGGTTTTAGGGCAAAATAGAATTAGGGTTCTTGGATCCATATGGCCGTAGCAGATGAAAATTGGTGTGCGCCGCCGATCTTACCACTCCACCGCCGCTCTGCAGGGCTTCCGCCGGCTGATCCGCCCCCCCATTGACATCTCCAAGGTCGTCTCCTCCAGGGACTCGCCCCTCTCGTTTGTCTCCACGAATTGGCAGCGCGAGGGCGACGAGAATCACAGCCGATGGGTCAGCCGCGACGATGGCAGCATCGTCAAGCTCCAATCCCTCGCCAGGAGGGACATCGATCTCCTGGACGACGCCGACACGCAGGATCCCAGCGTCTACATCGCTCTCTTGAGGGAATGCGGGTGCTCGCGCGCCCTCGCAGATGGGAAGAAGGTCCACGCCCATCTGTCCAGGGGCGGCCTCCACAGGGATCCGTACGTGGCCAATTTTTTGATCCAGATGTACGGCAGGTGCGAGAGCATGCGCGACGCCGAGGATGTGCTTCGATCGTTGCCCTGTCCAAACGTTATCTCCTGGAACATCATGATCACAGCATATGCCCGGAATGGGCATCTTGCAAAAGCAAAGAACACATTCGATGCTATGCTTGATCGGACGGTCGTTTCGTGGAATAGTATGATCACTGCGTATGCCCAAGACGGGCATGCTGGGGAATCTAAGAGGATTTTCGAAAGAATGCCTTTCTGGGCTGAAGTGTCGTGGACTACTGTCATGACAGCATATGCCCAAGATGGGGATTTGCTAGAAGCGATGAGTTTCTTTCAGCGAATGCCACACAGGGATGTGGTCGCCTGGACGACCATGATACGAGCTCATGCTCTTAAGGGCCTTTACAGGGATGCGCTGGTTTTGTTTCGGAGGATGAACAGCGAGGGACTCAGACCGGACAAAGTTACGCTGCTCACGATTCTTGAGTCGTGTGACAGTCGGCTGGATGGAGCGGGGATTCACGCTTGCATCGCCGAGCTTGGGTTACAAACCGATGTAGCGGTAGGGACAGCGCTCATCAACATGTATGGGAGGTGTGGGTGCTTAGAGACTGCTCGGAGTATATTTGTGAAGATCGAAGAGAAGGATGTGGTGGCCTGGACCGCGATGCTCAATGCTTACGCTGATAACGGGCACTTGAGGATCGCGGAGCTTATGCTGGAGAGGATGCCGCTCAAGAACTCGGTGTCTTTCAACGTGGTGATCACTGCTTTTGCTCGAAACGGCTACTTGTCCGAGGCCAGGGAGATATTTGACAGGGTGACGGACAGGGACGCTGTGACTTGGACGACTTTGATCACGGCGTATGCTCAGCAGGGCCAGTGTAAGAAATCTCTCGAGCTCTTTCGGCTGATGGTGGTGGAGGGAGAACTTATGGATAGAATCACGCTGGTGTCGATGCTCCACGTCTGTGCGGTTCTAGCGGTTTCGAGTGTTGGAGTGGCGATTCATGACTTTGTAGTCGGTGCAAAGATGGCGATCGATGCTACTCTCGGCACTGCTCTCATGAACATGTATGGAAAGTGTGGAAGCATTGAGCGAGCTCGCAGCCAGTTCGATTCAACCCAGCAGAAAGACATCGTTTTCTGGAACTCCATGATCGCGCTCTACGGTCAGAATGGTCACGGGAGAGAAGCTCTAGACCTTTTCAGAGACATGGTTCACGATGGCATGGAGTGTAGCGACACAACATTAGGGAGTGTTCTCTCCGCGTGCAGCCACTCCGGCCTACAGAGACAGGGCCGAGATTTTTTCCTGGCAGTGGAGCAAGACTATGGAGTTTCTCCCACGATCGAGCACTACATTTGCATCATCGATCTTCTGGCGAGAGGTGGACGAGCGTCGGCTGCTCGCGAGCTGATTGACAGCATGCCCTTTGAGCCTCATGCTGCGGCTTGGACGACGTTTCTAGCCGCCTGTAAAGCTCAAGGCAAAGCCGGGGAAGCAGCAGTAAAGACCTCAGTGGAAGAGCTCTCCAGCAAAGTTGGAGACGTTTTTCTTCTCGTTGGCGATTCCAGTACAAGTGCTGCTGCCGTCGCTGCTGGATGATTCTCGAAAGCGGGGAAGAAACCACCGTTTGAGTTTTGAAACTCTCAACTATCCAGCAAACGCGAGTTCTACGTCGTCTTCTACTTCTACTGCTGGACGACGAGTTTGATCACGCAGCTTGTAGATCGAAGACAGTAGCGCATATGGTGCCGAGTTCTCGGGATCCAACTTGAACGCTTGATGTGCCGCTCGTCCTCCCCTCTCGGGGTCCTTGTGCTCTCGACACGCTCCCAGCAATGACGTCCACACCAGCGCCTCGGGCTCAAACGGCATGCCAAGTATCAAGTCCTCTGCGTCTCTCAGCCTGCCTGCCCGGGAGAGAATATCAACCATGCAGACGTAGTGATCCACTGCGGGCTCAAGGCCAAAGTCTCCAGCCATGGACACGAAGCAACTCCAGCCATCTCCCGTCAAGCCGGCGTGGCTGGAAGCCGCGAGAACATTGACGAAAGTGCTCGAGTTTGGCTTGAGGCCGTCGAGAACCATGAGATGGAACTGCCCGAGAACGCTCGTCGCCAATCCATTCTGGCTGTAGGAGCTGAGGAGAGCGTTCCACGGCTCGACGTACTGCCGCAGCATCGCATCAAAGAAGGATTTTGCGTGCTGGATGCTCCCACACCTTCCATACATGCTGACGATGGCGGTGCTGAGGACCGAGTCGGCTCTAAGCCCGGTGCTCATGATCTCGGCGTGGACCATCTTGGCCTTGAATTTGCTCGCGAGCAAGCAGCAAACTTCGCAAACGTGGAGGAAAGTCACTCGGTTCGGCCGCACTCCATCCAAGTCCATCTCTTGGAAGAACTTGAAAGCTTCCGCTGGGCAGCCGGCTTGCAAGTAGGCCTTGATCATCCCCGTCCAAGTCACTACGTCCTTCCGCTGCGTCACTCGATCGAACAGAGACTGCGCGTCGAAGATCGATCCACACTGGGCGTAGGCGGTGATCATCGCGTTCCAGCAAGCCAGCGACGGTCTCGCCAGTCCATCAAACATCTTCTTTGCTTCGTCAAGGAAGCCATTCTGCGCGAGTGCCGCGAGCATCGCGTTCGTGGCCACCATGTCCGGATCGACCATCCTCTCGAACAGCGATTTCGCTTCAGGAACGCTGCCACACTTTCCATAGAGGTTGACGAGAGTGCTGGGGATGAGCATACCGGACTGGCACTTACAGTCGAGCACGCACTGGTGGAGGATCCTGGCCAGCGTCAAGTCGCCCAAGTTGGAGCAAGCCTCGAGAGCTGCGAGAAAGGTGGTGCGGTTGGGACGAACGCCCTCCATGTCCATGACTCGAAACAGCTGAATCGCCTCGCCGTGCTGCCAGTTTTGAGTGTGCGCGTTGATAAGCGCGGTCCAGGCAACCACGTCTCGATCGGTCATGGTGTCAAAGAGAGATTTTGCGTCGTGGAGATAGCCGTTTCGAGCGTAGCCCACGATGATGGCAGTCATGGAAACTCGGTTCCTTTGCGGCATTCGAGAGTAGCAAGCCAGAGCTTCATGGAGATGGCCGTTCTCGGAGTAAGCCGTCACCATTGCCGTCCAAGAGACGACGTTCCACTGGGGCATGAGATGGAAGATCTCGCGAGCTTTGGCGATGTCAGCGTTGTGTCCGCCAAAGGCTGTGATCAGAGCCGTCCAAGCAACCACGTCCCGAGAGACCATGCTGTGGAAGAGGTGCATCACTTGCTCCAAGTCCCCCCACTTTCCGTGCATTGTGAGGAGTGCCGTGGCCATGGCGGTGTCGTCCTCGAGCCGGAGCTCGGTGAGCTTGGAGTGGATGTTCCTTCCGAGCTTCTCCAGCGAGAATTGCGAGCACGGGTCGAGCATGTTGAGGAAAGTCGATCGCTCGGGACGGATGCCTTCCAGATCCATCCTCTGGAAGCACGCGCAAGCCTCGGTGATCCTGTCCAGCTTCAAGTATCCACAGATTAGAGTGTTCCACAGACCAACATCGCCATGAGAGGCCGTCTCCTCGAAGAGTTGTCGCGCTTCTTCAATATGCCCGTTTGCGGCAAATGCTGAAACCATGGCTGTTCTTGCGGCTACGTTTTTATCCGGCATTCGATCGTAGAAAGACTTTGCTTCGTTCAAGATGCCTACTTTTCCGTATCCTTGAATCAGTGCTGTCCAGTTTGCTGTGCTTGGGTCGCTAAGCATCTCAAACAATCTCCTCGCCTCGTGAAGATGCCCTGCATTGGCATACGCTGTAATCATCAAGTTCCAGGTCACTTGATCCTTTACTTCCATAGAATCAAACAATCGTTTAGCTTCGTCCATATTGCCACCTTTTACGTATGCTGTGATTATGGTATTCCACGAAGAAACACACTTATCTGGAGTACGATTAAACATCTCTCTCGCTTTCTCCAAGTACCCATTGCGGGCATATGCAGTGACTATGATATTCCACGAGAGCGATGTTTTGTCATCAATCTTTGTAAACACCTCTCTTGCCTCATGTATACAGTTGTGCTTTGCGTACATCTGCAGCAGCAAGTTTCCACATTCCTGGCCTCGATCGAGGCCACCCTCTGCCAATGCCGAGTGGATGGTCCTCCCCTCTGCCAAGTTTCTCGTTCTAGCACATCTCCGCAAGATCTCCACATAGTTGCTGGAAACATCGGCGCAAAGACCCCGAAAGGAAGACAAAGTGAACACCATCAAACATCCATAGCTCGCTCTCTTTCTTTCATAATAGACAATCAAACCAATACTATCGAGATCATCATCGTTGTGGAGCTTTCAAGCGCTCGTTCTCGCCGCCCCACTCGGCTCAGACAACGAGCTCCTCGGCCTCGTCCGCTCGACCAGATCCTCCCAGCAGATCAACTAAGCACCACAAATGACTTGGAGCGATCGTTGGGAGGAGCTCCCTCCAACATAACCTCAAAGAGCTCAGTTTTGCAAATAGTTTGTCTTCTGTATATACAAGAGTAGCAAGACATTCATTCATTTTTTACATCCATTGCTTTTATTTTCTTAAACTAGAAATCATTGTGTAAATTTCAGTTCCATAATAGCAAGCTAGTAGGGTTTAGGCTTTGGGTTAAGGTTTGTATGTATGATGTTTTATAGCATATGAGCTGAATTTTGAACACATTTTAGATGCCATATGTTAAGCTTGCCATTGCCATATATTCTTTGATGAATAATAAAAAGTGTTTTGCAAGTGAGTGGTTTCACAACTAATGAAGAAATTCTTGTATAAATAAGTGCTAAAGTGAGGGAAAGCTACAAAATAAGGGATCTTGAAGAATCTCTTTAATTGAATCACCAGCATAGAGATTCAATGCCTTATCAACATATCTGTTCTAGATTAGGGATCTTGAGCACACAATGGAGTTTTCATATGCAACCATCTCTCATCCAGCTCTCACACCCACCATTACTAATGTAAAAGTCTTTGCAGTGATTGAGAAAGCCTTGATAGAGCTTGTAGGGTACAAGAAGATTATTTAGCAGTAGCAGCAAATGTAGGAAAATATGCTCAAAGAGCTCTGCATTTGTCAATTACAACAAGTCAAGAAGCCATAACATGCTCCATACTCTTGGTATTGCTTCCATTGTGATGTCATGATTCATAACACGGAGAAGTGCTAGAAGTTTCATTTAGAACTACAACCATCACGTTCTCAACATATTCAGGAGCAACTATTCACTAATAATAATGTTGCAACACAAGGGAAGGATCGCTACCAACAACAACTTGAGTAGCAAGCAATCAAGGTTACACCCTTGTCGTCTTCTAGCAAAGGGAAGGCTCCAATGGGATAAGTCAATGCCATTAGAATTGTTGAGGAGGAGTTCACAGTGACAATAGCCACAAGAGCACAAAAGAAAAAAGCAATTGTTCAAAAGGAAATTGATCACAATCTAGCTTTTTCAGCAATCATTAATCCAACACCCAAAGTGGTATAGAAGCTCCTAATCTCATTTCTCCTACTTAGATATCCTTCACCTTCCTCTGGCAATTCCAAAGTCTTTGAGAGCACACTCTAGCAATTGATGGAGACACTTATCATCTTTTTGCTACATGAGCTTTTGTGCACAATTCTTGGCATTAGACAGTGTCTTGAGGACTTTGTGAGGCCTATTGAAACCATAGCCCCTCTCCAACAAGATGTCCACACTATTGACATTACTTCCTTTTTAGATCCAGATGCATTTTTTGCATCCATGGACTTGCAATATGATCTCTTTGGATGTGGCTATGTCTTCAAGTCTTTACAATTTTGATCCTGAAGACATTTGCAAACCACACTATCATTCCTATAGGAATTTGTTGCAATGTTTAAGTCTACATCAATAGGGTGGAATCACTTTTGGACTTTGTGGTTGTAAACTATCAAAAGCTTAACTCCACACCTTTAAAGGATTTCTTGATCCTTGGATGAGTTTGGGATGATCAAGTTCGAGGCATCAGAAGCTAGCCACTCAGCATGATAGAGATTAGCGACGGTCACTAGACTTTTTGTCTTTACAATGTCTATGGACACTCTCTATTGGGAAAGCTTTAAAGATAGCCTCTAGAACTGTGTAAGAGCCAATTGATCTCCTTCAAGCCAGAATTCTTGATGGGTTTTCCATACTTGCTAATTATTGTCTTTCCCAAGTTGATCAAAGATCCATCACAGCCCAAGTTCGATGTGTTCCAATGCAATGCTATCCTCACAAAGGCTTCCCCAATCATCCTAGCAAAAACTCAATTTGATCAGATTGATGGCCAACTTCAAGAGTTATTGATCTTTTAAGAGGAGGCTTTTTTGACAATGCCATTTCTTTTTGAGCATGGGCCTTATATGGAGGATCTTCCCTCAATCACATCTTGGTCTCAAGGACTTTAGCATGGCACACTAGTAAAACATGTGTATTCCACAAAGTCCACCACCTTTGACACAAGAATAGGGATTGCGAGTAAGAACAACCCAACCTCTTTATTTGAGGAATAAGGCATGAGTGATCATGTGGTCAGTTTGGCCTCTTTATTTGAGGACCAAACTATTCCC